TCGTATATATGTTTCAGATTCTTTTCATCTTGTCTAAACAGAACTAATAAATTAACATTATCTCGAACTAGATGTTTAGGAATAGGAGCATACGATTGACATGAATAGAAACTGTCAACATTTACATGTCTGCCCGTACAAAAGAAAGCTCTAACATTATCTTGCTTTTCACAAGCAATGTCATCAAAAACGAATATTGAATTTGCTTTAGCATCTTTTGGAGATACTACTTCTTCATGTTCACTAAATGGAAAATACTCAACACCATCTACCTGACTGATTACATTTTCTAAAAATCTATATTTTGGCTGCTGTAGAGATTTAGAGTAGAGGTAAATATTTAAAAAACTTAGACCATTTCGATGTATTATTAGGGAAAGAAGAGCATTCGTTTTACCACAATTTGAGGGGCCACAGAAAACTGCTCGAATGCTGTCTGAAAACAGACTACCATGGCGTCTATTCTTTTTTTCATTAGTTACAACATCTACACTAGAGATTGGCAGTGCAACAGGTTGTTTCGTGAACTGCATCTTGACAGTAACTGCTCGAAAATCTATAAATACCTAGCTTTTATAGTCAATTTTGTCAGTTTCACGTCAACCATTGTAGAGTGAAGTATGATTCTGCATCAGGAGGTGAAAAAAGGTCGCTATCAAGGAAAAGGTTTAATCAATCGTATCATCAACAGTTTACCGATTGCGTTACATTTACTTGGACACCAATTCTGTGGACCTGGTACAAAGTTGACTAAGCGTTTGTCTCGAGGCGATCAAGGAATTAATCCATTAGACGCTGCATGTAAACAACACGACATTGCATATTCGCAAAATCGTGAAAATATTCAAGCTAGAAACGAAGCAGATAAAGTATCAGCTAAGAAAGCGTGGGAACGTGTTTCAGCTAAAGATTCTGGTGTGAGTAAAAGAGCAGCTGCTTTAGCTATATCCGGAACCATGAAAGCCAAATCAAAATTAGGCATGGGAATGGAAAGAGAATCAGCTATAAAGAAGAAATAGAGTAGAACAATGTGTAAGAAGAAGCAAATAGCGCTAAGAAAAATTGTTGATGCTGCTCGAAAAAGTATGTTTCTCAGTAATAATGCCGAAGAATCAATAAGAGCAGCTATGATTGGTACACGAAAAGCAATAAAAAATGTTGGTGGTAAATCCAAAGTTTTATCACCTAGAATTCTTCCTGTACCTACTAAAGTAGGTGGAATTTTACCGCTAGTTCCAATTTTTGCTGGACTTAGTGCTTTAGGAGCACTTGCTGGAGGAGCTTCAGAAATTGCAAGAGCTGTTAATAAGGCTAAAACATCTAGTGAACAGCTTAAAGAAGCTCAACGTCACAATAGATCCATGGAAGCCATATCGCTTGGAAAAGGATTACACCTTAAACCTTATCGACAAGGACTTGGTCTCCACTTGAAACCCTACATTCAAGGAAAAGGAATTAATAATCAAACATCAAGAAAAAAGAAGCAAACAACAAGGAGCAAAAAAAACTTGTTTTGAAGCTACCTCACCGTCCACTAACTGATTTTGATCTGTTGAAGCATGCCAAAGCTGCCAAAATACTTCATTTTCGTGGTATTTTTATGCGAAATGAACTACCTGTAAGTGGTCCATACAAGTATGAATCGGGAATAATTAATCTTGATAATAAAGAAGGTGCTGGAACACATTAGGTAGCATATAAAAAATTCAAAAATGAAACAATGTATTTCAATAGTTTTGGCAACCTTGCTCCACCAACAGATCTTGTCATTTACTTGGGTGATGGTAGCTAAATAAAATATAATCATAAAAGATATCAAAATTATGATACATTTGTTTGTGAACACTTGTGTCTTAAATTTTTGTGTAATCAACTTAATGTTAAAAGTTGTTTTAACCTTTATAAAAGTGTGTAACTATTGTAAGCTTTTAGTATAAAATCTGACAGCAACATGAGTGATTCGTTTAATTTAACGCTAACAGGAAATTCTTCAGTTCTAGGAGCTGAATATTTCCCTCCAATAGAACTAAATTCAAATAAAAGTTATGTACTTGGTCTTGTTGAACTATTGACTTTTAATTCAATTCCCAATATTGATAAAGGAAATAACAAATTTTACGTTGGAAATCAAGTAATTGATATTCCAACTGGAAGTTATGAAATCAAAGATATTGAATCATATTTACAAAATTCTGTAAAAACTGGAACTGTTATTAGTTGAAAACCTAATAATACATTACGCAGTATCGTTGAATCTAATTTACCAATTGATTTTAAACCTAAAGATTCGATTGGTAAGTTCTTGGGATTTGCATCACAGAAACTACCATCTCATAGAGCACATACTTTTGATTTACCTGTAGCCATTTTAAAGGTTAATTCAGTTAGGATTAAGTGCAACATAACATCTGGAGCGTATATAAATAACCAAAAAGTCCACACTATCCATGAATTTTTTCCTAGCGTTCCACCAGGATATAAGATTGTGGAAGTGCCTGCACACGTCATTTACCTTCCGATTGCCACCAAGACAATACATAATATACAGCTGGGGCAAAATTCCTCAATTGTCCTAACTTAAAATCGAAAGTCTTCAAATCAAGCTAATTTTTGCACAAACTTTAATACTATAGGAGAGAACTTTACCCATAAAATATTAAGATATTTTATTAAAAATTGTAGGGGGGAGAGGGGGTTAAAGTTTTTGGTAACGTGTTAACAGTGGATTCTTTTAGCTAATATAGCTAAAATACAGTAGAGTGGACAAAATTTTGACCTATATGTTTTCGAAAGGTTTTTTCCTCCTCTATCGAATGGTGTAAAATTTTTTTTTTTTAATTAACAATTTAACTTATTTTTTTCAAAATTAAAAATATTTTTCACTTTTTTTTGAAAATCGACATTTTTTTTTTCTCTTTTTTTTGCTTTAAAATAAAGCTTAATATGTGTACTTTCCATAACTGATTCTGAAAAAATGACGTTTTTTTTCGTTTTCGAATTATTAATTAATTAATTAATAAAAATCAGTAAAAAATTACTAAAAAATGAAATATTCTTTAAGCAAGTAAACTTTTCTGAATTATGGGATTATTATCGTAAAGCTTACCTAATTCCGCATCCAACAAGTATAATTACACCTATTTTTACAAATAATTGTTAAATAAATAAATAATTGAAAATTTATTTATTAATTTTTTGAAAAAAGGACATTTTTTTCTTCTTTCTTGCTTTAAAATAAAGCTCAATATGTGTACTTTCAATACTCAATTAGGAAAAAGTGCCGTTTTCTTTTGTGTTTCGAATAATTAATTAATTAATTAATTAATAATAGTAAGAAATTATTAAAAAATTTAATATTTTTCAAGCAAATAAACTTTTCTTAATTATGAGCTTATCATCGTAAAGCTTACAAAATTCCGCATCCAACAAGCATAAACTCAACTGTTTTTTTATAAATAATTGTTAAATAAATAAATAATTGATTATTTATTTATTAATTTTTTGGAAAATGACATTTTTAATTTTTATTTTTATTTTAAACAAAGCTTAATATGTGTACTTTTAATACCCGATTAGGAAAAAATGACATTTTTCTTTTCGTATTATTTATTAATTAATTATTAATAAAAATTATTTTAAAAAAATTAATATTTTTCAAAGAAATAAACTTTTCTTAATTTTGGGCTTGCCAACGTAAAGCTTACCAACTTCCACACCCAACAAGTTTATTTTTAACTATTTTTTATAAACAATTGTTAAATAAATAAATAATCAATTATTTATTTATTTAACAATTATTTATAAAAAAACAGTTGAGTTTATGCTTGTTGGATACGGAATTTTGTAAGCTTTACGATGATAAGCTCATAATTAAGAAAAGTTTATTTGCTTGAAAAATATTAAATTTTTTAATAATTTCTTACTATTATTAATTAATTAATTAATTAATTATTCGAAACACAAAAGAAAACGGCACTTTTTCCTAATTGAGTATTGAAAGTACACATATTGAGCTTTATTTTAAAGCAAGAAAGAAGAAAAAAATGTCCTTTTTTCAAAAAATTAATAAATAAATTTTCAATTATTTATTTATTTAACAATTATTTGTAAAAATAGGTGTAATTATACTTGTTGGATGCGGAATTAGGTAAGCTTTACGATAATAATCCCATAATTCAGAAAAGTTTACTTGCTTAAAGAATATTTCATTTTTTAGTAATTTTTTACTGATTTTTATTAATTAATTAATTAATAATTCGAAAACGAAAAAAAACGTCATTTTTTCAGAATCAGTTATGGAAAGTACACATATTAAGCTTTATTTTAAAGCAAAAAAAAGAGAAAAAAAAAATGTCGATTTTCAAAAAAAAGTGAAAAATATTTTTAATTTTGAAAAAAATAAGTTAAATTGTTAATTAAAAAAAAAAAATTTACACCATTCGATAGAGGAGGAAAAAACCTTTCGAAAACATATAGGTCAAAATTTTGTCCACTCTACTGTATTTTAGCTATATTAGCTAAAAGAATCCACTGTCAACACGTTACCAAAAACTTTAACCCCCTCTCCCCCCTACAATTTTTAATAAAATATCTTAATATTTTATAGGTAAAGTTCTCTCCCATAGTACTAAAGTTTGTGCAAAAATTAGCCCGATTTGAAGACTTTCGATTTTAAGTTAGGACAATTGAGGAATTTTGCCCCAGCTGCAAATTGTCGATCAGGACGGTGATTTATTCAATTTTAGAGGAGAAACTATAACAATTCGATTGCATATAAAGTCTTTGTAATGGGAATCGTTTATAATCAAAGAGCTGTTGTTGGTGGAAACTATAAAAGTCAGCCAACATGCAAGAGTCAAATCAGTCTAAATTCATCTCACAAGGTGTTAACACCTCAGAATCGCCTCCTTCTGCAAGAACTAGGTCTAAAAGTTCAAGGAAAGAAAATAAGACAACAAGACAATTAATATACATATTTTTTGGGTGCTGTTGCAATAAAAATGGACGAACTTCTCAATATTCCAGCAGCAGTGAATTTCGATGAGTCCATAGCTCATTATGAAATTCATGCTTATCAACCATATGCATCTTCATCGTTTAACAATAGTGATGAAATTCGAATTGCAGTACAACATCAGGACTTGTGCATTTTGCCTAGTAAAAGTTCATTACACATTTTTGGTAGATTAACTAAAAATGATGGAATTACTCTTACACAAAACGTGCATTTAAGTAACAATGCTGTATGTTTTTTGTTTGATGAAATTCGCTATGAACTAAATGGCATTGAAATAGATCGCTGCAAATACGTGGGACATACTACAATCATGAAAAATTATACCTCACAAACACCAACTCAGTTAAATTTTATTAAAAATGCTAGGTATTCAAAAATTGCAGCTGATGCAAGACTTGTATTGGAAAATGGCTATTTTGATGTCACAATACCACTCAGCATGATTTTTGGTTTTGCTGAAGATTATAAAAATGAACGCTAAACATGAACTTATTTTAACAAGAGCACGTTCTGACGTGAATGCCGTAATTCAAATAGGACAAGGAGGGGATGAGGAATTCAAAATTTCCATCAATAAACTTGAATGAATGGTTCCATACGTTTTACCTTCTGACAATAACAAAGTTAAATTGTTAAAATTTATTGAAAAGGATCCATTAATTTCAATAAGTTTTAGGTTATGGGAAATGTATGAGTATCCTTTAATTCCTACAAGTTCAAAAGTTTTTGTGGCAAATTAAAACATCAACGCAATTGGAGAAACCTCGTTATGTTATTGTTGGATTTCAAACAGCAAGAAAAGATAAACGAAAAAAATATGCCTGTCATTTTGATCATTGCAATATTACAAATGTTAAACTCTTTTTAAATTCACAATATTATCCTTATGGAAATTTAAACTTTGATCAAAATCAGTACTCTCTACTTTATGAAATGTACGCTAATTTTCAATCATCCTATTATGGTAAAGATTCAAAACCTATTTTAACAAAGGATATTTTTAAAAGTTTATTTCCTCTAATTCTTATTGATTGTTCTAAACAAAATGAGTTTTTAAAACAAACATCAGTTGATGTGAGGTTAGAATTTGAAGCAGGAATTAACATGCCAGCCGAGACCACCGCCTATTGCCTAATTATCCATGACCGCGTCATACAATATAAGCCAATCAGCGGCGTTGTAAAGAAACTATTGTAAAGGAGTGGGGATAATGTGGTGGTGGTGGGGATGATTACTATAAAAGCAGCTGCTCTCGGCTAGAAATTCATTTCTGCTTCAAAATGGAGTTTATCGTAGACGTTCAAGGTTTTAAAAGAGCCAACAACGAGTTTGTCTTTAAAGAGTTGGCGATACTTCCTGTTCAACCAGATGCACAGCCTCTCGTCTACCTTTTTGAACCTCCTTGTCCTTGGAATTCACTACGAGGACGCTACAAAAGTGAAAATCTATGGCTAACTCATAATTATCATGGAATTGATTGGACAGTTGGAGATGTACCATACGATGAACTTCAATCTATTCTACAAGGAATCCTGCGAGGTGCTAGTGCCATCTACGTCAAAGGATTAGAAAAAAAGACTTGGCTAGAGAAATACTTACTTAATGTACAAAATTTAGAAGATTTTAATTGTCCATCGTTATCGAAAACTGTGCCGTAAAAAATGTTAAACTTCTTCAAGCATGGTTTTTGGAACTTCCAAACCAATATATAAGTGCTATTTCTAATGGCATTGATGAAATTGACTCTACAATTAATACTACTACTTTAAAATCTTTTTACGAAAATTGTGAATCTTTTTTGTAAATATAGTTATTTAGTTTTCAAAAATAAATATTATTAATTTAATATTATATTATATATTAATAATATATATATTATATATTATTTTATTATTTTATTATTATATTATATTATATTATTTAATTTAAAATTTAAAACAATGTTTCTTATTTAAAAAACAACATATCCTTTAAAGTTTCATTTAAATATTATATATTTTTTATAATTCCTCAAAATAAAACTTATTCTAATTCTGAAAAATAACTTATACTAACAGAAGGAGAGTAAATTTAAAACCAATTTATAGGTAAAACTTTGTGTGTTTATTTTATCAAAATTTTTTTTTAATATATATATATATATATATATATATATATACATTTTCTTTTTACAATTTATTGTAACACTTTAAATTCGACAACATTATACGGTCCTCCAAGATACTTCATTTGAAGTTTCTTCGATACCGCAGCTTCTTTCATCATGTCCAATGTGGTGGGTTCATCCTCAAAGAGCTTGATGAATCTCGTTGGTAGATATGTGACGAAATCAGCATCAATTTCGACTATGATCCTAGGTCCATATTTTGTTTGGACTTTTTTCATTTTTGTAACGTAGTACAGCCCATCTTTCATCAATTCCGCGAGCACCTTCGTCGGTAGGTATCCTTCAAAACGCCCAACAGAGTTGATTTTTTCTAGATCCATTTTTTTTAACTGTAAGAAAACCTTAAACAAAAAAACAAGACAAAGAACTGTAATAAAAAATTATTAGTTTTCAAAAGTAACATAGAAAATATAGCTGAAAAAGAAACTTAGAAAATATATCTAAAAAAAGAAACTTAAAAAATAAAGCTGAAAAAGAAACTTAGAAAATATAACTGAAAAAAGAAATTTTGAGAAATGAAGTTAAAAAACCTGAAAAAAATAGAGCAACAAAAAAAATCTAAAGAAAGTTGAAAAGAAAACTTATAACAAAAAAAACTGTAAATAAATATGAAAAGATTAAAAATAAAACTGAAATGGAAACAAAAAAACCTGTAAATAAAGCTGAAAAACTTAGAAATATACCTGTAATTAAAACTTAGAAAGAAGCTGAAAAGAAATGTTAAAATGGATAACTTATTATACTTACTGCTAATTCTAGAACCTGAAATAAGAATGATCTAATAGCTTGGAAGCCCGTCTTATATAACCTGAACCCCACTTTTTTTCTTCAACCCCACCACATTCTCGAATGCGCACGCAGAAGTACCCCTACTATACATTGCGCACGCAGAATTACCCCCACTATAATATGCGCGGTAAATTTAAATTAAATAAATTAAATGCGTCAATTTAAGAAAAACTTTTTTTATTTAAAAATTAAATTGAAAAATCTGCAGACGTAGAATAATCTTCTAAAAGCTCCAACATCTATAAATAAAAAAATATATTTTCAAAATTATTATACACAATTAAACAATACTTTTGTAAAGTTACTTTAAATATATTAAAAATTCTCAACTAACTTCCTCTGGATCAATGACATGTCTATGATTAAAACATCATCATCATTATCATCATCATCAACAAGAACAACTTTATCATCATCATCATCATCATCACCGATGATGATAGTTTCCCCCACACTATCATAACCATCTTCATTGTCGTTTTCATTATCATCATCCTCATCGTTATCCTCATAATTGTTGTAAGCATACGGATCAAAAACCCAGGGTGCGCTTTAAGGATTAAATTTTTAAGAACTGACATCATATTCGTAATAACCGCCTCCAAAAAACCTCCGAGTAGAGAGTTTCAGGTGAATCCAAAGCCAAAGGGTTTAGAATTTAACGGTAGCGCCATCTCTCGGTGGCAGCTGGATGTCAGTAAAACAGAACACCCCTTCTAACCCACTTGAAAATTTAAAAATAAAAATTTAAATACCCCACCAAGGGGGTTTAAATTAAACAAAAAATAAAATGGCGCCATCTAGCGGTGACAGCCGGTACTAAAATTCGGTCGGTAAGGTAGAACACCCCCTCTAAGCCACTTAAAAGTGAGCTATTAAGAAATCTACCTTACCGACCGTCGGTAAGTGGCCCAGGATCCCCATAGCTCTACTACTTTATATCAATTGTTTACAATTTGATACTCTCAAGTTAGGGACTGTACACATAATACACTACCGTCAGGAATTATCGGTACGGCTGCACGCGCCCGAACCAAAAACATACCAATCTTTAAATCACGATTTTTTGTAAATACAAATGTCAGAAAATTAACAAATATACCATTCGAAAGATTATTAAATTCTACGAATAATGGTACATAACTGAAAATTTTAATAAATATAAAGATTGCAGCAATTGACAAATTTGACAAAAAAATTTTAAAAATACAATTTTTTTGGAAATTTTTTCAACCCCTGCACATTTTTTAAAAATTGTAGAAAAAATTTGAAACTTATATAGGTGTGATCATTTAAGTCTCATCTTTAATTTAAGACCAAAGAAATTCAAAAATCTTATCGGTTAGCGAGGTATCATTATAAACGGACGAGCATTTTCAGTCAAAAACCGTTCAAAATCGACTAATTCAATGCATTTGTCAAAAAACATGCTCAGACGTTTATAATGATATCTCACGAACCGAATATGATTTTTAAACTCTTTTGGTCTTAACCCTTAAACCGCACCCTGGGTGTGCGACACCCATATTCTAGCTTTTTACTCTAATATTTCGGTTAAATTCGTAAAAATTGAACATGTGTCGTTATTGGACGATACATTTTGTACTTAACTTTATGTTCCGTGAGGGACATTAGTCTCCCAAGTGTCTTTGTGTATTTGATAACTTTATGAAGTTGTCGGCGAAAAATTTCTGCTTGTTTGACACCCAGTTTTTGGTTTAAGGTAATTTCAGTAGTATTTAAAAAACTCTTTTTTAATTATTAAAATTAAATAAATCATTATGAAACCTATTTTCTTTCAAAATAGATGTACTGAGCTATGTAAGATAATTTTTCCAAAAGATAATATCCTATTCCAGCTTCGAGAACACACTTAAAAGGGGACGCATGACGATTCCCGACAAAAATCCTGTATAATATTCGATAGACCTTATTTCATTTGTCAAAATTTCTTTTTCATGTAATTTTCTTTTATAAGAATAAGAATGTGTTCCAAATTGTTTATAAACACAATGTTTTTTTAATTAATGCTAATGAATGAAAATAATAATTAATATGAAGATGGAAATAAGAGAATGTTTAAAAACTTGATTTCATAATATATAAATTTTTATTGAACCGAAATAATTTTGAAAAGAAACTTTTGTTTTGATAAATTTTTGTTAAATAGAATTAAAGTTTAGCAAATATTTTAGGTAATAAATAGTTTATAATGGAAAGTTTACATTTATTAAAACTTGCATATTTCAAAACTTAAATTGCAACAAAATGTCATTTTTCAGAATTTATGTTTAAGCAGCTTTCATTGAATGCAAATTATTAAACAGAAAAATTTATAATTGACTAAATGTTTAGTAAAATGAATTATTAAATATGTTAATATTTTATTACAACAAAATTTTCTTTCATGTTATAGTTATTAAATAGATATTAAATTCAGTTGGTTGTTTATTTAGACAAATTCTATAATTTTTCAATTAATATATAAACGAATTTTCATATTACAAATTTTTTAAATAATTTAAATGTTATGTGACGGAGTTTACATTAGATCGAATTTTAATTTATCGACATTTTTATTTGCTGGAATATCTATTAAACGAAATGTTCATTTCAACGAATTTTCAATAAACAAAAAATTCTATAATTAATTCCTTCTTAACGTACTTATTATTTCATTCAAATATTATTTCACGGAAAGTTAATTTAATCGATTTTTTATGTTTCAGATTCGTTGTCTAATAGAAATTCAATGAACGGAATCTTTGTTTAGTGGAATTTTCATTTTTCTGAATTTTCAAATGCTATGAATTTCATTTGTAGAATTTTATGTGACCGAATTGTCATAAATATTAATTTCTACATTACCGACATTTAAACACACGAAACTTAATATCGCCGAAACTCAATTTGTCCTACCTTTTTCTATTGTTGTCCTTGTCTTGTCCATTAGTAAGAACTAATAAAAAAACTAATGGACAAGACAAGGACAACAATAGAAAAAGGTAGGACAAATTGAGTTTCGGCGATATTAAGTTTCGTGTGTTTAAATGTCGGTAATGTAGAAATTAATATTTATGACAATTCGGTCACATAAAATTCTACAAATGAAATTCATAGCATTTGAACATTCAGAAAAATGAAAATTCCACTAAACAAAGATTCCGTTCATTGAATTTCTATTAGACAACGAATCTGAAACATAAAAAATCGATTAAATTAACTTTCCGTGAAATAATATTTGAATGAAATAATAAGTACGTTAAGAAGGAATTAATTATAGAATTTTTTGTTTATTGAAAATTCGTTGAAATGAACATTTCGTTTAATAGATATTCCAGCAAATAAAAATGTCGATAAATTAAAATTCGATCTAATGTAAACTCCGTCACATAACATTTAAATTATTTAAAAAATTTGTAATATGAAAATTCGTTTATATATTAATTGAAAAATTATAGAATTTGTCTAAATAAACAATCAACTGAATTTTATATCTATTTAATAACTATAACATGAAAGAAAATTTTGTTGTAATAAAATATTAACATATTTAATAATTCATTTTACTAAACATTTAGTCAATTATAAATTTTGTTGCAATTTAAGTTTTGAAATATGCAAGTTTTAATAAATGTAAACTTTCCATTATAAACTATTTATTACCTAAAATATTTGCTAAACTATAATTCTATTTAACAAAAATTTATCAAAACAAAAGTTTCTTTTCAAAATTATTTCGGTTCAATAAAAATTTATATATTATGAAATCAAGTTTTTAAACATTCTCTTATTTCCATCTTAATATTAATTATTATTTTCATTCATTAGCATTAATTAAAAAACATTGTGTTTATAAACAATTTGGAACACATTCTTATTCTTATAAAAGAAAATTACATGAAAAAGAAATTTTGACAAATGAAATAAGGTCTATCGAATATTATACAGGATTTTTGTCGGGAATCGTCATGCGTCCCCTTAAAAGTCCCCGGGTGTCGCACACCCAGTGTGCGGTTTAAGGATGGATTCGGCAGTGTGCGGTTTAAGGGTTAAATTAAAGATGAAATTTAAATGATCACACCTATGTAAGTTTCAAATTTTTTCTACAATTTTAAAAAAATGTGCAGGGGTTGAAAAAATTTCCAAAAAAATTGTATTTTTAAAATTTTTTTGTCAAATTTGTCGATTGCTGCAATCTTTGTATAAATTATTAAAATTTTCAGTTATGTGCCATTAATCGTAGTATTTAATAATCTTTCGAATAGTATATTTGTTAATTTTCTGACATTTGTATTTACAAAAAAATCGTGATTTAAAGATTGGTATGTTTTTGGGCCGTGTGTGTGCAGCCGTACCGATAATTCCCGACGGTAATGTACGTCACGTGATTTTTTACCATTTTAGACCCCCCCCTCCCCCATGTCACACACGGTCCCATACATTAGCGCCATTTTTTCTATAGGTCGTCACAAATGTCTTGACCCTCCCCCTGTTCGCGTGAAGTATTATGTGCACGACCCCTTATCAATGTAAAAACTCTTTCTTATAG